TATATATTTTTTTTTTTTAACCAAAATGTATGTTTATATGAAAACCTATATTTCTCATGAATTTTATCTCAACCTCACATGGCTTCATTTTCTACCTTTTTCAACAGACTCATCAAAGAACTTCCCCATTACTGTTGCACAGAAGCTAGCTGTAATTTACAGTGGCTTGCAAAAGTTTTCACCGCCCTTGGCTTAAAGTGGTCCTATGGACAGATACTCCAATCTCCACTGTGGAGCTTTGCAGCTCCCTCAGGGTTACCTTCGGTCTCTTTGTTGCCTCTCTAATGAATGCCCTCCTTGCCTGGTTCGTGAGTTTTGGTGGGCGTCCCACTCTTGGCAGGTTTGTTGTGGTGCCATATTCTTTCCATTTTTTAATAATGGATTTAATGGTGCTCCTTGGGATGTTCAAAGTTTTGGATTTTGTTTATAACCCAATCCTGATCTGTACTTCTCCACAACTTTGTCCTTGACCTGTTTGGAGCATATATTCCAGAATCCTGCTGCACTCCTTACCGAATATCCCTGTCAGCGTGGGTGCTCGAAGTGGCCAGGGATAGCCCTGCCAGTACAGAAACATGTCACCAGCACACCATATTGAAGTGAAGAACATGTCTGTTTATTGACACTTCATGTCAAAACAAATAACTATGGCAGTGGGCAGATTAAGATGTCTGGGTATAGCCAGGATGGCAGATGTGTATGGCCCAGTTTCAGGTGTAATACTGAAGTTCTTCCTCTAGGGGGAAGTGTTGAGAGTGCTGGAAGCTTGGAGGTAACAAGCCCACCTGAAGCAAGCTGGGTTATTAGGGCCTCCATAAGATATCCCAGGCTGCTAAGTGAGTGGTTCCATCTGAGAGACAGAGGAGGTATCTGTGCAGGAGGCAGGAGGGCTCCACCCTGGAACCAATCTGTGTGTCTGGCGGACTGGGGAGCGAATCATCTGTGTGGTAAGATCCATCTTGTGCGGCAATACACATGTGCGGCAATACACCTGTGTGGCGAGAACTAGCCCATGTGGCAAATAGGTTGGAAAAAGTACCTGTGTGACTGAGAGAAACAGTTGGGACTAGTCTGAGAAACAAACAGACAAAGATAGAGGACCAGTGGGTCAAAGAGGCAAGATGCTGAAGGTAAAAGCCAAAAATGTAATCTGTGTTTTCGTTTCCATTACTCTGTGCACTTTATGTTTGAAAACCCCTGTGAGGGAAAACTTATGTGGACTTATGTGGGCAAAGAAGCACCTAAAAATTATTTGTAAAGAATATGGAAGGGTCCTTAAAGGAGAACTATGGGGTTAGGGCTTTTCCCCATAGTTCTCCTAAGTGTAACGGGAGGACACAAACTAACGTCCTACCGTCACCCTAAGCTCAGTATACCGCGAGCTACAGCTTGCGGTATACTGAGATGCCGCAGCTGAAACGGATCCCGACATTTATGTCTGGATCCGCCCAGCTGCGTGAGTGACAGCTGGTTTTGCCTATCTAGAGGCAGAACCGGCTGTACCCGCCCCCTCCCCCGTCCGTTCCGCCAGTCAGCGCTGGCGGATCGGAGCGGGGAGGGGGGAATGCCGGTATGTGTTCGCTCACTTCCCGATCTACTGAGCC